GATGTCTGTCGGATATTTACAGATTTTTATCTGCGAAGGATCCTGAAAAATGTGTGTATGTGATCCCTCGGAGTTCCAGCTTCAGATCTCGTTGCATACTTGCCGCATCTTTGACGTATGGTTGCTTTAGATTCATGCCTATACGTGACAGATGTCTGTCGGATATTTACAGATGTTTATCTGCGAAGGATCCTGAAGTATGCGATCCCTCGGAGTTCCAGCTTCAGATCCTTTTGCATACTTGCCGCATCTTTGGCGTATTACGTGGCAGATGTCAGTCGGATATTTACAGATTTTTCATTTATGCAAATTTGGGAATCTGATATACTCTGCCTGTAAATACAGGTTTGGCATGTAGGTATAACTATATCTTAACATGTTTCCAATGGTTAGTTGTTGTTTTTTTGTCTTGCACTCCATTTAGTTTTTATTTGTAATACGTGAAGTGCTTTATATAACTATTTAAATCTGCTATAGGCTACAAATAGTTGGCTTCTAAGATCTTTAACATTTTAAGATCACCCAGTTTTTTACATCAAAATTAATGAGTCTTTAATTTTGGTTTATGTACCATCATCATGATGTACAAATCACAAGCTGGACCAGTAAGCACATTACCATTTCAATAAGAACTATGAAAAATCAGTATAATAAACAGTTTATGAAGCAGTCTAGTAAATACACAGTGGTTTGTATCTTCATAACACATACTAATGCAAACATATCATAGACATGAAAACACTGACCATGACTTTCTTAAAGATTTTCTTTTTTTATTAAAACACACACACACACACACACAAAAAAAACCCCTACGGTTTAATTTGTAAAAAATACAACCTACGGTTTCATTTGTAAAAAAAAATAGTTGTTGGTGCCTCTTGGAGGCTGCCTCAGGCTGCATTTCCCACTGGGCACTCTGCAATGTAGCCATCCATTCTGCAGGGCTTTGTTTGAAGCTCAGCAAGTTTGTACTGGCATCTGTCTAAAATGTCCTAGTTTTGCTGCTCTCCCATTCCGGTGGATAAACTTTCCATGTGTCTTTGTCTTCGTGTCGGTCTCGTACTCATAGGCATGTTGGCACCCCCTCATTCTTCATCATTTAAAATGGAGCGACCAACAGACCGCCGTGAATTCAAAAGCTTCAACAGAAAACACAGAAAACACAAGGTCAATAAGAGCACTTTTTAAAATGTAATCATAACAAAAAGCAAATGCATCCATATCTCAATTCTTAGATTCTCAAACAAAAAGTTTACGGATGTTCCAAAAACCTTTTTTTTAATCTTCCCATATTGAATATTTTTAGTAACTCATATCTACCAATAGATGGCGCTTTAACACATCTTTACACGAGGACCCAGAATTTAATTAAAAGTTTTACTTCTTCTGCATTGCCAGAAACTATAGTTTCACACATCTACAATGATGTAATGTGAGACTAAAGCAAATCAGATATATTTTGCATTCTAATTCTAATTCTGTTTCCTCTAGGATTTATTTTTATTTTTAGCTAGTTTAGTTTTAGCTTAACCTCAGTGCTAACAATGGCTCTTGGCTTGGTAGCCATTGGGGGTCCTCCCCCAGAAAATTTTGAATAAAATAGATGCCATTTCCTGCATTCTGGTGTATTTAACATCTAGTTTTACCTACATATGTAAACTATTCAATAAGTATTTTAGAGTTAATGGCAGAACAAGAAGCACCCTGAGACAAACATGCAGCATTAACACAGTGTGAACATTATTCAAGAATTGTTTCTATAAGAACATTATCAAATATTTTATGTGAACGTAAGATACTAGCAATCACAGCATTGTAAGAGGGGGACAGTTGAACCCGGAGGCCTCCACCTCTGTTTAATGATGGACGGTTTCTTTTCACAAAGATGGCCTCCTTTACTCCTCTCTCAAACCATCGTTCCTCTCTATCCAGGAGGAACGATGACTGAGTTTGTCTCAGCTCCTCAGACTGAAGAAATCTTTTTGATACAAAGAAGAATCTGTCCAGAGGAATTAATTTATTGAGCCTGCATCAGGACAATAATCTGTAAAGCTTTAGTATATTTGATAAGGAAAACTCATTTTGACTTAACCAATTAATATATTTTCAATGGCAAAATATGCAGGCTTATTTCATATTACTTTCATACTTTCATTGCAGGCTTTCTGTATTTATTGTCTTACTTTTAATGATAAAAATATAACGAGTCACTACTGTCGTTTAGAAAGTGTTTATATTGGAACTAATACTTGTTCACACACAGTTACAACAGCTCACCTGTTCCTTTATACTGACAGGAACAATCCCCTCATCACTACTGGCTCTGCTCCTGACACAATCACATTTTAAAAATTGTCATAACTCAGAACAAATCTCCCCTTTTTACAAAGCCGTATGATCAATTCAGGCAAGTTTCATTAAAGGGTTGAATCATTTAACATCTCAAGACACTTTTCATATACAGCAGGTCTTCACCAGACTCATACTCTTCATTATATAATTATAATAATATTCAGTCAATGAGTACTCTTACCTGCCCACTCTGTGCTGCGTGATGTGGAGCTGCATCTTGGGTGCTACAAGACAAAGATTCAGTTATGTGGCGTTGCATTATAATATTATTTAAATTATATAACAGTATGTTAAGTCACAATGCCACACACCAACAGTTCATTGACTTGATAACTTGAACGGTGTTTTGCAGGAAAATCCAGGAAAGTATTCTAAGTTGATTTGTAGTTCTAAACATATTTAGTGGTCATTTTTTGTCCAACATTGATTACTTCCAGCCTAGATCACAATTATATTAGCAAATATCCAAATATGTAACTTAGACAATGACATCATAAAACAGCTTTTAGAAAAGCAAATAGACACCTCTCACTGAGGAGTTGCCCAACAGTGGTCAGCAGCCACTGGTTATAGATGTCTCCCATTCCCCCTGTATGAGTGTCCATTTTATTCTGCTCAGTACAACTTTTCAAACAGCCTCAACTTGACGTGACGCTGACAACGCCATGTTGTAAAAGGTCGAGTAACACACCGGTAAAACTACATATTTTACGCTCTAACCACATGCTTGGTCAAAAATAATTAGAACTAAATATGTGAAGCAGCAACTTACTGAAAATCGTAGAGCCGCTTGGCTTTGAATCAAACACGTCGCGTTATCCGAGAAGGACCTCGTTTGTGTTATCCCGCCAATGTAATACCGGAAGTGTCTTCTTCTTCTTCAGTTAAACGGCTGTTGGAAAACGGTGCATTACCGCCACCAACCTGTAAGGAGTTTGGCGACGTGGACAATTTAATTTACAGTTAAGACTCAAAAGGGTTTACTTGTGTGTTTTATCTGTAAATTAAATTGTTTCATGGACTTTATTTTTTCATTTAAATAGCCTGCATCACACTTTCAAGAGACGTTTACCTAACAGAATAAATGAAAAGAAGAAAATGGACAACCATATGTTTATATTGTTGAGGTTTGTAAAGTCAGTAAAATTAAATATTTTATCATTATTGATGAAAAGTTGACATGAAAACCTCACATAAACTAAGAATAAAAAATAGCTAAATCTGTTGAATTGCTGTACAAAAAAACCAATATAGGATGTCACAGTGAGCTCATCCATGAAGTCATTTGCTAATCTGAAGAAGTTCCAATCTGTAGTTGTTCCAATCTGTAGTTGTTGGCTCTATTTTATATTTAAAGTATATGATTACAATTATAAATACCATTAGACTAAATGTGATTCCACATGTGATTATCATTGCCATCTTAAATGATCTTACAATTTTCTTACTTCTTTTGTTTGTTTTTAGGTTTATCGTATGTGACCCATCACATCAAAATGAGGATTAAGTCAAATTTGGTCAAAATGAGCCCATTACATCTTCAGATTTGTGGCTTTCAAAGCTATATTTTGATACTGGATCATTCTGATATCATAAGGGGATTCAGAGATATGACTTAATTTGGCTTGTTGGTTACAATAATACATTAGGCTATTATTTGGTCTGAAACCTAATTGTTTAAAATTTTAATAAGAATTTTTTTAAAAAATTAGGCTTTTTTTTTTTAGACAATTCAATCAAATGTTACACTGATAGAACATTTATTTGTTATATTTTGATAAAACGCAATTTTTGCAAATATTTTACTCAAAACACTTTTAATCCTCACTTCGATGTGATGGGTCACATATTACCTTTTATTGTACTTATATTAAATGAACAGTTTATAAAGTAGTTTAGTGAATCAGGTGTTTTACACCTAACTGCACATTAATATCATATACATAGAAAACAAAGAATTTGTTAAAAGATTTTTATTAACACACACACAAAAAAAAACTTCACTTCAAATACGTTTTGTCTATGCCTCTTGGAGGCTGACTCATGCTGCATACGCCACTGGCCACCCTACGATGTACCATTCTGCTCGACTTTTGTTGCAGCTTGGCAAGTTGGCATTGGCACCTATTCAAAATGTCTGTGAGCTTTGTTGCCCTCCATTCAGGTGGATACACTTTCCACGTTTGGCCGTTTTCACTGTCTGTCTCTTCATCGCTCATCAGACATGCAGACGCCCCTTCAAGATATTTGAACTCCTCGTCGGTCAGAATACAGCATGCAACGGATCGTCGTGAATTTAAGAGCTTAAACAGAAAAGACAAAACATTTGTTATTACTTGTTTTACTTTTGTATTACTGGATGGATGGATGGATGGATGGATGGATGGATGGATGGATGGAT